AAGTGTCCGTCAAAGGTGCCGGCAGATTTGTACTGGGTCTCACTATGCTTGCCACAGTGCGCGTATATCTGCCGACAGAATTGTTCAACCTATAAGTGCACTAATAGATGTTCCATGTACTCATGCTATCTTGAATGCTCTATCAATAGCAATCTATGAGGATGAATGATCTTCCTTTAGATTTTACCACATTATCGAATTTACCTCAGAGATCTCAATACAAAGACCGGACTTATGTTTGTTCATGAAGCAGTTTGGAAGTTTGCAGAGACGGATGGCAATCGTTACGCTAAACTGCAAGCCTCAACGCGGAAACTGTTAACAGGCGCACCTCTTAAAATCGCCGATTCGAAATGGCTAGTAGGACGAGGGGGTACCCGCTTACGTGAGGCCTGGCTATCACTCCCTGTCGAGACTCGAAGAGATATGATGGTTGCTACTGATGATCCTGATTTTCCTCCATGTGACTCCGGCATTGTGGATGAAAGACGCATAAATTCATCACGAAAAACACAAATAACGACCACGACACATGAATCCCGAAAACGAGCTTCACAGTCAAAAAATATCAATTCAGATGGAACTTCATCGTATATGCATAAGAAATATCGATTTCTAAAAGCTCGGGCTCGTTATTTTGGAGTAGCATCCAAGGAAGAGCTCGTCCGCCTCAGTATTGCGTACGACTCTGGTAGTTTGAAGGGTGTGTTAGACGCCGCAATTAAAAGCGCTGAATATGCGGTGATGCTTTCCAAGTACAAGGACAGGGCAACGACCGCGGATGAGGCCTACGTCGCCGTTGCTGAAAGCTTAAGTGATGCTTTTTCGTCTATAAGCGGAATAACCTGTTTTGATCCTGAGCCTATTACGGATGGACCTTCCGATAATTTTGCAGTGTCGCGGATTAGCGCGGCATAAGTGAAATATCAGGAGGCCGCTCAAGACGCACAAGATGAAAAGACAAAAACTTCAACAACAGAGGACCTCGATAAACCTATTTTAACAGGTACCGTTCGATTTTTTGGGAAAGCACAGTGAATGGAGATTTCATAGCTCACTTCTTTTAAAAGCTTGGCAACATCGTAAATTTCAAAAGATTCAAAGACGTATGGTGTTTTACTGTTTTTTTTTAAGAAAGACTTAAAGCGTGACCAACGTCTTTTGGGCGTCCTCGTTTTTGTGGGGTCTCTTATCCGTAAAGGTTTCTCTACGGGCGGATCTTTCTTCGAGCGCAATACCTAGTGTGTCTTTAACAGCCATTAGATGAACACATGAGCCCAGTTTGAACATAGTTCTACAATCGCTAAGTCCGTTCTCAGCTGTCACAATCCATCCCAAAGTACACTGTTCTTCAGCTTCAAGTTCCTGGTCAGTTGTGGTTTCAATCTCTTCTTCAGTTGTTTTCTTTTTTCGAGTATCTGTAGGAGCTCCTTTTAGTTGTTGAACACGAAATTCTCCCATACTGTGCCCCGATTCCAGAAGAAGAGCAATTTTCATGCGAGCTGAACTAGTATTGGTTAAAAGCCGCTCTCTCTTTAATTTTCTGAAGTCTCTAATAATGTGGGGTGCTGCCCGTGTCGATGTCGCAAAAGTAGCTGTCAAAATTGATCTTGCCTGGCTCACTTTAAGTAACTCCATGAAAAGAGGGTTCAAATGAAGCAATCTGCGCATAGAATGAGCGTTTTTCAATTGACGATTGAAGTTTTCACACGGGTTGTTAGTTTTTGCCATTCCAGTCGGAGTTTCCACACACTGCCATTTACGGTAGCGCCCCTCCAGCCACTGAGCCGAAAAATACTCTGAGAATGACTGCAAGTCGGTGTTAGCCTTCCATGATTCCAGGACATCGTCGATGCGACTCTGTTTATCCACCAAGGTTCGCGCGTAGTGAATTTTGTATACATGTCTGTATACAATTCCTCCGAGAACCCCACGGTATGTTTTCTAACATTTGACATCGCGTGGAAGAAACACATCAAGTACGTTGGCTGCTTATCTGAAGCGAGAATAGCACCAGCCACACTTTCAAATGCATTTCGTTGAGCATTACCTGCATCCATCATCATGAATCCAAACGATACACTCTGTGATGAAATGTAGTAATACAAATCGAGCAATACCCGAATTGCTCGAGTCCATTGGGGACTCTTTAGATCGGAGACTAAAAAGAAAGCCACAGGGTGGAATTGTCTCCACATATCTGATAGACCCATAACTATAACCGGAAAACCTCTAGTGTTAAGTTTGAAAGTGGCATCTAAGTGAAAAATAAATTCAGATGTTCGGAGAGGTTCAGGTAGTCTACCCGCGGTGGCGTGGATTGACTACTAGTGCTACAAAGTGTGACGGGGTCACACAGCACCTTGCGCTAGAGGAAGTTATCTTCCGAGAGCATACAAACTCTCAGTGAACGGCAGTTCACAGGTCCCCTCTTTATTTAAAGAGAGTGAAGTGACCTAAATAAGGTAGATTGTAAACTGAGTATACTTATAGGTAGGTTAAGTTTGGGTTTAATACAAACTATAAGTTACCTATAGAAATGCAATGTCGTTTGACCAATGGTTGGCTTTGAGCGACCTTGGTACCTTGTACCAAATATCCCGGAGTATGCCGTGTCATACACCTGAAGTGTGAAGTGTCACACTTCATGTAACCAGGGTACACTAAGGGCTACGTACCCCGTTAAAAGACGGATGGCGGCGGGTGCGGCGGCAGCAAAGACGGCGGCGAGCGAGCGTGGAGACGGGCACAAGGGTGGCGGTGACCAAGTGTGGTGACGGCGATGACAGTGTAAGATTGGCGGGTGATCAGCAGCGGAGACAGCTGCGATGGCGGAAGCGAGTGGATGGCGGTGAAGAGCTGGGAGGGCGACGCGGCGCGGTGGCGATGACCAAGATGGACGTGGTCGGCGCGTTGCTCGGCAGAGATTGGTGTGGACGGAGCTCTGGTGCATCGTTGTGGAAGCTCACGATTGGGACATGGGCACGTCAATGAGCGGGACGTGGAGGAGAATGCGACTACCAAGGGCAAGAAGGATGCGCGCGGAGCAGCGTGGCGTTGCTCCAGCCGGAAGTGCTGCATGTAGGGTGAGGATAAGGCAAGGCGGAGCGACATGAGGTGCTAATGTGTACAGGATAATACAGTAGTAATAACAAAATGCAAATTCATGTACTGGTACTTGTACGAAGTCTACACTGAAGTACAGCTCCGTAACACGTAGGATCTACTAGCGGCTGTAGTGATACACGGAGGCTGTTGCATGCATCAATATACGTAGTACGTATTTAAATAATTACTTAATAAAATAACGCCGATCCGCTTTGCCGTCAACCCAGTGCTGGCGGTGGAAAGATACGACGCCTTTACAATGGACATGTTTAAACAGTGTCTAAAGTGTCCATTGTCTTTTGAAGGAACAAACAGACGTCTGTTCAAAAACGCCATTGCCTACCGAATAGTGGAGTCCGCGTGCAGACGCAGGTTAAGAATCAGAACGGATCATTATGAGCAATCAACCGATTAGTGGACTTTGCCCTATTAACCGTCTTTATAAATTCAAGTCAATACTGCACCCGTAATTACTCGTAGGTGTCTTTTGTGTGTCTGTACAAAGGGGAATAATCGTTCGGTAAAAAAATGTTCAAACAAACGGACGTCTTAAACGTTCTTCGAACAGATGTCTTTACCAGCACTGGTCAACCCTCGCCGTAGAGCTGGTGTTGCCAGTGGTGACTTTATTACTTGCTACAAATTGCAACTATTAATATTTGACCGATTTTAGAAAGCGCTAATTTTATCGAATGTATCGACATGATTGCACAGGTCGGATAAAATGAAAAAATGCGTGAGATACGTCGGCATCTTAATATTTGTAAGGGGAGACACATAATATGTGTCTGAGACCACCCAAAACAATGATACTTACGACCCTAAGTACGAATTGCGATTTAAGCACTCTAAACGAAAGCGGAGCGTCTCCTCTATCTCTTGAGCCCTTATAAGCTACAGAATGCTTAAAACAGAAGAAGTTGTGGTCGCTCAAAAAAATAATCTCCATTAATGGGCCCTCGAAATGACGATATATTTAGGAGTGATGTGAGCTCAATCTTTTTTGAATTTTAAAATTCAAGTGTTATTTAAAAACTCTTGTTAAAAGCAATTGAATAAGGGTAGTCTTACAGTTTTTTTCGATGGAAGTTTACCATAAATGTCATTGTTTCGGTTAAGTGCGAAAATCAGCTGGCCAACTTTATAATCGAATATCTCGTTAGCTCAAAATGGCTCGTAAGTATCATAGATTGCTACAGAAGGTTACATGCAAGTTTTTTCTGGTATTTTTGGTGGTTAAATGGTTTTTCTGGGTACATGTTTCTCTGATAAGAATATAAAAGTAAAAAATGGTGCAGCAGACCTTGACGGCTAATCAGACGGCGCCACATATTGGGGAATATTTTCCACCATTGTGATGTTCTCGGCCTTATCTAACTTTTTATGCGCCTCCCACCTCTTCACGGCGCGTGACCAATCGGATTCGTGTTTCTTCTCTTTTATCACCGTCTCTCCTTGATCGAGGCGGCCCACTGCTGCCTTGAATTCGACAACTGTATTGATGCCGTACTCTGCAAGCGTACTCGCTGTTGCGGGTCCAATGCCTTTTATGTCTTTGATCGAATGTGGCGACACCTCATCAGCGATGACATTCTGTCGTTCAAAGTCCTTCATACCAGATTGAGGAACCATAAATACAAGCGCAGCTCGCTTCGAATTGGTCTTGACTAGTTCCAACAAACCAAGTCTGTCAAGTACGTAAATGATTCCAAAAGCACGCACGGGATGGGTCTTGGAGACCGTCATTTGGAAGAGAAGTATACGCTTGCTCGACATGTTCATCGACAGTGCCGTAGACTGTTTCCTTTTCCCACTTACAAGGGTTTTTGGAAAGTAGAATCCGTCAATTGACTCCATCGTTTTCGACTTCGGCTGATGGTATGGTCCTTTCTTCAGTAGCAAAGAAGACAACGCGCTGTGCTCAAAGTTATCAGCGGGATCACTCCGCTCAATATCAAAAGTTTCCCGTTTTTGTCGCGTTTTGACGGTAAACACTCCTTGTGCCTTCAACTCCAATACCTTCAACTGCAGTCCGTCGCGAAGCTTTGCATGCGCTTTGGCTTCAAACATGGATCCTCTAAGCGAAGCAGCGGGGGGTATGCCATCAAGCAATGCCTTGACTTCATTCATTCTGCCCTCTATTACGCCCAGCAGTCGCTCCGAAAACCTTTTGCTTACCATTTCGGACACGAGTTTCGTTTCTACTGACCTTCCATCATCAACAGGCTCGTAGTGCAAGAAACGGTGGTTCGCAATCGTGTTTTCCCGATTCATAAGCAGGTTTTCGAGATGTCCACGGTCAGTAATCTGCTCGATCGGTTTCGTCAAATCTTTAATCGTAAGCACAACCTGTTCTTGCTTAAGCAAAAAGCAATTGCGGGCCACTCCACCAAAATTCCAGAATCGTTCTTCCATCTCATCATCACTAATGGGGTATTCCAGAACGGAAGCAGCTAGTTGCAGCTCTTTAAGGCTCCAGGGAGGCATGTAGTAAGTGCAAAGTGTTTTTCTTACTCGCTTCAGCCATCTCTCGTTTGGGTTTGTAAACACAACTGTTTGGCGGAATGCTACCTTTGGCGGTCCATCGCACAGCCAAAGTAATTTCTCTCGATATCGATCCAAGGTTGTCTCATCACTGAGATCCACGCCTTCTACCTTCCTTATCGCAGTTTTTACAGTGCTCGAGTCCGGCCGACGATAGTGCTTGGCTTCCTCACCAGGTTCAAACACAGCCAGCGATTCGACTTTCCCTGTCGGAGTATGCGCTGACGCAATAATAGTCCAGGATGGGTTGGCCTTCCTGAACCGTTCCAAGAAATAAGCGTAGAAGATCGACTTTCCAATTCCTGCAGGAAAGTGCCCATTTAGATGACTAACGGTTCATTGATGCTGGATAGTAACTAACTGCTCACCTGGGGTTCCGGTCACTGTCACGCATTTTTTCTTATCATTTAGCAGCCGATCTTCCACCTTTTTATAGTAGACATCGTAACACCCGCGAACAAAGTAGAACTCGCCGCCATTGTACTCCGTAGCAAGGGGCACATCGGGCACTTTGTATCTGATCTTCACGTCGGGGATGTCTTTCTTGCCAGACACTGCGGGAGGCTTGTCCTCCGCTAGAGCGACCCCCTGCGCCGATTCATGGTCGACGCCTTGTTCATCATCGTCGTCGTCAACCCAGTTATCCTCTTCTTGTTCGTCTCCTTCGCCTTCAGCCCACTTAAAGGCTTCTACGTGAGAACGTTTCATGGGCAGTTTCCCTGGCGCTGTCCCTGGCGCTGTCATTGTCAGTTTTCACAAATTCAATTGAATATACCATTCCGACGCCCTAACCCTTTCCGACAGACAAATATTTATTGCTTTGGGCAAACACGAAGAGAGAATCTCAATGCAGAAGAGAAATACTGAAGCAGGTTAGTTAATTAAGAGAGCACCGCAAACATTACACGCAGGGTGCTTCCAAATCAGAGGTCAGAAATAGTAATTGCGATTCTATAAATTAATGGGTTTTGCAATTTAAATATCTATTATTGGTAGTTGAGCTTATCAATACAATATGGTATTGGACCAATTATTGACAATAAATATGGCAAAAGGTTCCCTGGTAGGAAACGTTTTATTATTTCCATATGACATCACCAATCAGATCTTATGACATCATTTTCGTTGTTCACCACACCATCTTCATACCAACCTGAAACCGGTGGCTACGAGAGTGTCTAGTAAGCTACGATACGCGAGCCACAACTCAAACTTCACTTCATTTTTGAGCTACGATGGTCCTTAACAAGCAAATCGCCGCCTACTTCTTCACATCACTTGGTCAAGGGCTGTTTCGCTGCAATATTTGCGGCAACGAGCGGATAAAAACTGGTGGGGCAGTGTACTCTAATCTCAACTACTAGAACAAATTATTAGTTGCTACATCATTCCAAAGAATCACTTATAAACAAATATTCTAACAAGATGCCCAGTCAAGAAAGCTATTCTTGACTCGCCATCTTGTCGAGAATAATCACCTCATATCATAACGTGATGTGTCGTCCTCTAGATAAGAATTGTAGGCCCAGTCGCTGCCTGACATAGTGCACTTGTGAAGCAGCAGCTACATTTCTAGACTTTTCGGCTACGTAAAGCAAACAATAAACTCCTCGCACTTGCTAACGCCAAACGACAGAAGAAGATGAAACATACAAGTCTACCTGACAGCCTGGAGCAAAGTTTGCAGAAGCTGGAGAAGGAAGCAGCTGAATTGCCCTGGTGCCAGCCTTTCTTGGAGGCTCTCCAGGATAACACGGACTCAGAAGATGAAACTTCAGAATTCGAAGATGACCCCGACTTATATGTTGCTGATAGAATATACGCTAAGAAAACTAGTCAAGACGGGCAAGACTACTTTTTACTTTCTTGGGTGGGGTTTTAAAGAACTAACCTGGCAGCCGTCGTCAGACCTACCACAGAACATGATAGCGAATTTTAATGATGAGGAGCTTGGCGTGGCTTGGCCAGTCGACTATCGGGCCAGCATACTTACGGGGATCATGGCTGGTGCAAGAGTACACGGAAGGGCAAGACATAGCTAGACATTGTTCCAATATATTTAAATTGCGGCAATTTTTATTATTGGGAGTGCTCATATTGGAATTTTATTGCGGCAAAAATTTGCCGTCAATACAATACAGTACTGTATTTTCCGACCTCTGTTCCAAATGCATGTTCAAGTGAACAGTATTGTCAGTGCCATACAAAATAATAAGACAATCAGGTCTGTTGTGTTCATGATGAGATGCAAGTGGTTTAGGAAAGAAACATAGCTTCACCGCAGAAATTAAAAGAGATTTCGCAATTTATGCAGGGAAGTCCTGGCCTCCTTCTTTATTGCACTCGCTACATAAATAAGAAGAGTTGGTAAAATGCTTTGCTCTGGAAGCAAACCCATTTATTAAAAAGTAGAATGCTCTACTTTGAAAAGGATGTTCGAATTATACCTAGAAGATTCTTATTAATATACTTAAGTACAATATTTAAGGTCGCTGTTGGAGGCCAGGATTATTTACATGGACTTGTACTAGACTGAGGTCAGGATTTATCCTGGACATTAAAGACAATCTTAACTGTGTACCATTTGGGGAAGATACGGGAGGATTTGTCGAGGACGGGGAAGATACGAATGTGTGGCAGAGCGAAGTCCAGGATTAATCTTGTACAGTACATGACATAATCCGGGAGATCTCAAATAATCTGTAATGTTTGCACCATTGTCCGATTAATACTGTATTCGTCCGTGAAGGAATAAATTTTTTTGGACTTATCACTAGAATTGCCTCCACCTTTGCTAATGCTGTGCGATCTCATACCCAAAGAGGCATTTTGTGGTAATAAAACATGCATTCATTGCTGTTTGCCCTACGGAGACTACAACTGTCACTTCTTACGTCCATTTACTGAGCAGGTTGTGTAGGTGGAATATCTACGTCCTCAATGTTCTCATCATCCGATTTTGGGGCAGACAGTTTCTCTACCTGGTCGTCGTTTGTCGAAATGTCGTCAGAATTCGCGTTCTCCATAGGAAGAAGGCGTCCAGAAAGCAAGTAGTAGAATAGTTCGAAGCGGTGTCTCTTCAGCGAGGCGTTGTTAATTTACAGGTGCCGACCCGTTAATACTTGACGTATAAGCACCCAGCAAACGTAAACTACATGTGATGTAGTAGAACACACAAATACCGTCAGATGTGGATTTTTTTACACAAACCACAACGAATCGCCGAGTTAGGTCGGCGGTTGTATGGCCTGCGCAGAGGGTGGTCCCCTCGCGGTCCGGCCCTTCCGGGACAGACGAGTGGCTCGCTTCCACTCGGTTCCGACTAACTAAGTCAGATCACTTCCGAGGCTCCGCCGAGTTTAATTCGGCGGAGCTCGTTCACAACCCTGTGCCCTCCACCAAAGGATGGACGACGGCGCGCGAGCGCTTTTACAGGTCACCGAGCGCAGAGGCTGCTCAGCTAGAAGTGTTACGGCACCCGGGCTATCCGACGTACCGGCCCGCTGAGTATGCGGGGCTTTCTTTCGCGCGTAGCGAGACTTTGTCCTACCCGGACCGACCTAATCTCTTGGCGCTACCAGTCAATACCCTACAAGCTATGCCTCTCGAGTATTGACGGCAGGCATAATCCAGCCCTATGCAGGGACTTACCGGGAAAGTGTACACGTGTCTTGGACTAGACAAATTATGCTCTGTTATCTTCTGGGAGCCCTTTCGGCTCCCCCTATTTAATCCTATGCTTCCTTTACAAATATCAGGTGAAATGTACTCGTTTCAGATCTCTACCGACCCTTCAGCTGAGTTCGGGCGACCGTTGGCGCGCCAGCTGAGTCGATTCCTCGACCTGTCGGCACTCGTGGGGTCAGCGACCGGCCTGAAGCTAGGTTGGTCGACCACAACTTCCCATGAGTCTGACGCGGAGTCGGCGGGGCCTTCTCGCGTGTGCCCTCCTAGTCCACCAAGCTTGCCGGGCGACACCACTTCGGGCGCCACCAGTCAGTCAAGCTCGGCTGCTCCAGTGAGTCTTGACTCCCTCATGGCCAGGGTTAACGAGCAAGGGTACGAGCGCCGAGAAGAATTGACCTTCTTGGCGAGGCTCATGGCCTACGGATTTACTCGTTCCGTGGAGCCTTCCGATCCCGCGCAGCGGCGAGCGATCTTGCATGCTGCTTCCGCGGGGGAGCTGTTGGATATTATGAAAGGCAACTACGTCGCTTTTGATTATCCCCAGATCATTGGCGATCTCCGAGCCGACAATCAAGCTGTTCAGGAGGAGAGCCGCGCACTGACTCGGCGACTGGTGTAACGGGCCAGGTATTTACTCCGCTACTTGCTTACACTATACTGTTGAGGAAGCTCGCAATAGGACGACTGAGTCTTAGGTTTAAGGAAAATCAACTCTGACTTTATTTTAGGACCAAGGCCACAGCCCTGGCCACTCAAATACACGTCATAGTCCAATTGGCTAATAATGGGTCTGGCTCCCCATATATCAGCCAATGGCATGACAGCATTTCAGCACACGCTAGTCGTGTGCTGATGCACCTACTTATGTAAAGAAATCTACCTACTTATGTAATGGAGGGGCCCATTACATTACCCCCCCCTCTTAAAGTTGCACTTACGCAACATAAGCACTGATGAAGAACATTGCAGAAAACTGCTGGAACGGCGGATATAGCGGCGACACTCGCGGCATCAAGCCACTGGCGTGTCAACAAGAGACACCACGCTCGGCAGCGAGCGTGCAGAGTGAGAAGCCATCTCAGGCAACAGCTTGGAGGCCACCGGCGCTGGCGTTGGTGTCGACACACGTGGGCTTCGAGGAGTCAGGTGAGGTTCTGGTGGAGTGGAGCTTGGACCTTTGGAGTTGCCCTGAGGCGCATCGAGATGCGACGTCGTGTCCGAGCGGGTAATGGAGCATGCTCACGCGCAGTACGCGTGAGTTCGATTCCCACGGAGATCAAACTCCGCGACAAGTGCATGAGCAAGTGTTTTTGCAAGGAAACGCTGGCACGATGATCACCACAGACGCAAAGACTGAGCGCCGACTGGAGACTTCCTTGTGTTTGGGGATACGCTCATCGTGGAACGTCCACGATGTTCTAGCAGACACGAGGATCACGAAGACAGCGCACGAGGTACTTGAGACCGCGAATACGGGGACGACAACCACTTCACTCAGATGAGACGATGTGCGTACGGAGAAGTATCCTGTAGACCCAGGCGACTGCGACGTCGGAATATAGGTGACCTGCGAGCTGGGGTTTCACTCGTCGTCGTGGAAACTCGCGTCACTCACGCAAGAACTCACTCACTCACTCACCCACTCACTCACTCACTCACTTGTTCACTCGGCTAGCTCACCGAGTGGCTCAAAGGTACAGTGCCGAG